TATATTCATACCTGCATATATACATACTAACATATAAATAAAATAGTCAACGTTTTCAGTGAAAAACAATAGTCAAAGTGCCAGTTTTTTTTGCATTTAAATATACTATGATAACATCGAAAAAAAAAAAATGTTAACTAAACTGAAAACTTTTATGAAAATTAGAAAAAAAACAGAGACTAAAAAGCTAACCAAGCGTGTAGCAACGTAGACTGGAAGGACCCTCACTGCTCGACATTCTAAGATTTAAATTTAAAATAGTTTAATTGAATGAAATGATCAATGCAGTTCCGCTCAATATCTTATCTGTTATTATCATTAACTAAAAAAAAAACTTTAGGAATCGTTTCCAATAACCGTATATGATTGCTTGTTAATAGAATCTATCTATCCTTTCGTCATCAGTGTATCATATTTAGGGATTTAGGGTCAGTGTTTAAATCTTTTGTGGACCCATTTTGGTATGTCCACGCATTGATAATAAATTAAGTTTTCTGTATAAACCAGCATTAAGAGTAGGACCATAATTTAATTGTTGCGAAATTGAGTTCAACATTTTTTATTAGAAACTTTATAAAATATATTATAAAATATATATATAAAATATATTTAATGTTAAAAATCATTATTTTATATAAAACAAAAAAAATTATATACAATAGTATTTAATAAGAATACTACAGAGCCTTTTTGTGTTCCAGAATTCAGAATTGAATGCATTGAACATGGCTCCTAGATATAGAACCCACTAGATAGTCGTTTTTATTGATTGAATGATGTCTTCTTCGAGAAAAGAATACTAGTGCTAACCATGTATATGATCATTGTACTTAAGAGCTATGGATTCATGTTATTTTCAGAAGGGAAGGATTTTATTATTATTATTAACTGTTCTTGTTAAAGAGATTACATAGTTTTCACTGGTTAATTTGAGCAGAGTTAATTAGAGGTAATTAATTAGGGATAAATATTTGTTAAAAAATTTAAGGATATCGAACTATAGCATTTTAAAGATCACAAAAGGAAATGTGAAAATTGATAGAGTGTAAATAAAGTGATATATTGTTATGGGTTACTGTTATAACTAGTGTCCATCTATTTTTCTATCATCAGTAGTGAAATTGCATCAGCAGCGGTGATATTTTTTTAAGTCATAATATCGTTTGTTCAGAAGTATAGTATTCCATCCGAATTCTTTAGCAATATATCAAATGAATTAAAGAGAATCTACGTCTGGGTTAAGTACAACTCTAATACATTAACATGATTATCCAAAAAAGATATAATACTATATATATAAGCTTAAAGCAAATATCATCATTTAAAGTTAGAAAAATATCTTTAATATACAATTTTTCACTTTTTTTTAAATTTTAGTTTTAAACAAAATAAATTCGCTTTCTTAGATAAAGATTTTTTTTTTTAATTCTTTATCAATACACCACATGAGTTCAAGAGGATCTGAAGTGTAAGTAGTAATTATAGATGTTATACGGACTCGAACAGTAACTGTCCATGTTACTGCGTCCATTGTTAGGGTATTGTGTTGAAATCAGTATTTAGAGTCCTAAACAGTCCGTGTCATTGCATCCATTGATGGGCTATTTTATCCAAAAAGAGTCTTAAAATCTGTTATTTGATTTTATTTTTGATTGAAGACTTTACTTTCTGTTTCGGAAGTAGTAGTATGTTCTTACTACTAAATAATAACTTTAATTATATAGTATTATATACATAGTATAATTTCATATATATGTAAGACAAGTATATATTTAAATTAAACATTTAAAGTATATTCCATTGCCATTGTAGGTTGATATGCAGTTAACTTCGCAAAAAAAAAAATATGAGCGAGTATTCGTAATAAAAATCCACTTTAATTTTAATAATTTCCAAAAAATATGTACAAATTTACTTAAGGTTATTTCAAATAAGAAAAACTATCAAATAAAATATAACTTAAGTGTAAAACATAACGCGAAATTAAAATAATTACAAATATTTGAGAGGTTTTAATATATATGAAATAAGTCTTGCATAACATTTTTAATGTTTAACATGCACTCTATAATTGGTGATATAAGTTATGACACAGTTGTCATTATATATTTTAGTTTAAAATATATATTTATTAATAATTTACTTTTACTAATCTTTGAAGACTTATATGCAGGTTTATACAGGTATATAATAATTTGTTAAATAAGTTTTCAGAGCTCCATATTTAATATTCCCCAAATTTAGGCTCTTCTCACATCTCAAGAAAATTTTTTCTTACCTACCGAAGACTTAACTGAATGAACGTTGAAATAATTATTTAAGTTGAGAGAGTTTATATTTAGAAATAAATTTATTTTTACAACTTAGCATCTCTTTTTTGTTAACAATTCCACTAGTTTATTAAACACCTTAGTAACATAACATTTATCCGATTCTATAGAATCACAACATTTCTTCTATGGCAGATATCTATTTTCAAGTATAGGTAATACTAACTGTGATTATGTGACACATTAAAATTTTTTAGCTTATTTTTCAAATAAAATTAATTTAATATAAGTGAGAAAGTTTAAGCAAAATTTTTTGAATATCATTAACGGACTATCAGTTCCATGTGACTTTTAATCATTTTGGGACTGACCTATAATAATAAAAAATTTGTGTGACAAAGTTTCATTGTTGCCGTTTTAGATTGTAATTTACTTTAATTTTCACTACTTGATATATACATTTAAGTTGAGTTGAGGACTAGTTAATATGAAGACAGCAATTTACAGACTGAAACCTGTAACCATGGTGTAATGTAATTTGAGTTGAGTTGAGGACTGATTCAAATATAGGCAGCTACTTCCTAACTGATATGTTACTCCAGAACTATGGAGTAATGTAATTAAAACATTATTTAAGTTGAGTTGAGAACTGGTTGATATGGGGGCAACCATATTCAAACTGAGGCGTTACTTCAGAGCCTTGCAGTAATACAATTTATGCATTATTTGAGTTAGATTAGTTTGAGGACTGGTTGTTGTGTAGGCAACCGCTTCATAGTTTTAAAAAGCGTTACTCTAGACCTATGCAACTTATGCATTACTTTATGCAACTGTTTTTACCATCAAGTATTATATTGGATTCATTTATTATCGGAGAGTGTAGATGATAGTTTATACCCATACTAATTATGTTGACAGGTAGAGGTGAATGGAATGTAGAAACTATTTCGTTGTGCGTGCTTCGGAGTTGGGTTGTATGAACAAAATCGATTTGTGTACATGTTCCGAAATAATATATATTCTTTATTGAATATTGAAATTTGTAACGTAACTATTTGTATAAAGAGTATACCAACAAAAAGTAAGTCGACTTAGTAATGATATATAAAACATTAAAAATGATGTTGTGATTTAAGAGTTATATGTAGCTCTTAAATTAATTTACACAACTAGTATTATTAATCAACTTCAAAATGCTTTTCTATGATTTTGTTATGTGCCGATTGTAGGGTATTAGTCGAATATTAGTTTTTGCAATATTAATAAAAGTGTATGTTTATTGCATTGCTGCAAGGTGTGTGCACTCACCTGTTGAAAACTGTTGCTGTTGTGGCGGCTGCGGTTCTGGTAACAAAATTTGTGGTAGCTGTTGCGAGATC